TATGAGGTGTCAGAACCCCTGCAACAGGAGTTATAGTTGTAAGATGTTAGGTGGGTGCTGGGAGTTGAACCCAGGTCTTCTGGAAGAGCAGCCAGTGCTCTTAACTGCTAAGCCATCTCTCCAGCCCCTAGTTCTATATTCTTAAAGTTCCTTTCTTTCTATTATTCTTCCCACCACTGCTGCTTTTCCTATTCTCCTTTGTCTACATGTTTTTTGAAAAATTTATTGTGTTGTACATGGTGTGTGCATATGAGTGTGTGTGTGCCACAATGCCAGCATGGAAGCCAGAGGGAAACTGGAGTAAGTAATCTCTTTTCACCTTTGTGTTGGTTTCAGGGATCAAACTTAGGTCACCAGGCATGGCAGGACAAGTATCTTTACCTGTAGAACCATCTTGAAGCCCTACTTCTTTTTTTTTTTTTTAAAATGTACTATTAGTCCCCCACTACCACTACTACCAAAACATACAAACTAAGGGGAAATTTAAGTGTAGGTTTTTTTTGGGGGGGGTGGGGGGGCTTTAGACATCGTTTTCTAGTCTAGGATGGCTTTGGATTTCCTGAGTTTCATCCTGGATTTCAAGGATGATCTTGAACTGCTGTATCCAGCACTTCCACAGTGCTGGAATTACAGGAATGTATCACCAGGGCAGGTTTATGCTGCCCTGGGGATTGACTGTACACTAGGCAATTACTCTACCAACTGAGCTACATCCCCTGTTCTAAAATAACAGATAATAACTGAATAATGTCTGCGGGACTCTTTAGTTTCTTTTTTCCTCTAGTTGGTATAAAATGTACAGTGTATATTATTTAAATGCCTTAAAACACTAATACATTTTGGGAAAACAATGCAATATGGAAAATAATTTGAATAAATACATATTTGCTAACAAAACTGAGAAAAATTTGTTAAAACAGATCACCTACCAGTTATTCTTGGATGCTATAATCTTTCAGAAACAAAATATCCAGTGGACCTGTAGCCAGTACATTTTTTCCAGCAGAGATGCCAAGTATGATGACTGTGAAGGCTGAAGTGTTTTTGTTTTTAAACAAAAATAATGCTGTCTCTTAAATGCAGAACTGGGGGCACACTGGACATGTTAGGACTTCATCTTAGAGTATCTGGTGTGAAATCTTAGCTTGGGATTTCACTTGTTTATTGAGGCAGTGAATGGAGGAGAGAAAGAGAAAGAGAAAGGCAAATATTTCCCAAGCCTTTTTTTTTTTTTTTTTTTTTTGGAGGGGGCTGCATTAAAGAATCTTTCTATGCCTTATGGTCACATTTACAAGGATGGGTGTTGGCTGTTGTTTTTGTTTTTATATTTTGTTTTAGATGAAAGAGTTTACAAGTGGATTTTTCAGTGTGATATCTATACCTGATGATTGGGCATTGGAGGTGGTATGGCTATAGACAATGGCTATACCTGATAATCAAGAGAAGTTCTGTTATTTGTGTAGTAGATACCTGTTTGGGTCATTAATTCATGCCTTTTAAAAATTTTCATGTGTATGGCTATTTTGCCTGCATGTATGTCTATGCACCACATGTGTCCCAGGTTCTCAAAGAGGCCAGAAGAGGGCATTAGAACCCTGGAACTGGAGTTACAGTCTGTTGTGAACTACCATGTGGATTCTGGGAATTGCACCCTGGTTCACTGTAAGAGCAGCCAGTCCTCTTAACCATTGGAGCCATCTCTGATTGTTTTTTGATTTTTTTGAGACAGGATTTCTCTGTGTAGCACTCCTGTCCTGGAATTCGCTCTATAGACCAGGCTGTCCTCAAACTCACAGAGATCTGCCTGTCTCTGCCTCCTGAGTCCTGGGATTAAAGATGTGCACCACCATCTGGCTCATTGTTTTATTTTTAAAGCGTTTTCAACATAAAGTATCATTTTTGTCCAGTGTGATAGTGCATACCTTTAATCCCAGCACTTGGGAGGTAGAAGCAGATGGATCTCTATGAATTCAAGGCCAGCCTGATCTACATAGTGAGTTCTAGGGTAGCCATAACTACACAACAGAGAGACCCTATTTTAAGACAGTGTCTCACTGTGTAGCTTCGGCTGGCCTGAACTCACTATATTGACACTTAACTCACAGAATTTTCCCTCCCTTTTTACCATAAGTATTTTTATTTAGTTACTTGCCTGATAATTAAACAAAAATACTGTGTGTGTGCATATGTGCATGCCCTCCTGGCCAAGAAACACTACACAGAAGCTGCCTTTTTTTTTTCTTATTTATTTATTTATTTATTTATTTATTTATTTATTTATCTGAAACAGAGTTTCTCTGAGTAGCCTTGGCTGTCCCGAACTAGCTCTCTGTAGATCCGCCTGCCTCTGCCTCCTGAGTGACAGACCAGGCTGGTCTCGAACTCACAGAGATCCACCTACCTCTGCCTCCCGAGTGCTGGGATTAAATTAAGGCGTGTGCCACCAACGCCCAGCTCTTGTTCATTTCTTTATAGGCTTAAGTCAGTATTAGTTGTGTTCAGCTTGATTACCTGAAAGTAAATTAGAGATTTCTTAAGAAATGTTATAAAGGAAATGAACTCTGACAATTCTGGTGTTTAGTCTAACCCCAAAGCAATTGAATTCCTGTTCTCATGTATAGTATAATAAAGGTGAAGTGGAGACTAATAATCCAAAAATTTAGGAACAGATCTTCCTTTTTAAACTACATCTGCTCCATGAACTGTGCCCCATATTTGAATACCACCATTATTGTGTGTGTTTATTCTATAATGATCCTTTAAAAAGAGCAGGTATGAGTCCAGTTTGGTTTTGTTTCATTGTCCTATCTCTAGATTTCTTATCAGAGGAAAACTCTACTGTCCTAGATTTTATCACCTTCCCCCTATGTTTCATCACATATTTAAAGAAAAAAAATTTTTTTGACTTCTCAAGACAGTTTCTTTGTGTAATAGCCCTGGTTGTCCTGGAACTAGCTCTGTAGATCAGACTGGCCTGGAACTCACATAGATCCACCTGCCTCTGCTTCCCAAGTGCTTGAGGTTAGCCCTGCTGAGGCCGCCACCACTGCCCCGCCAGCTCATTTTGACATTCTTGCCTTTGTATCTAAAGTACCTAATTTCATTCCTTCTCCTTTTCCAATCGGCCTGGACCCTTGCAGCAAGTTCTTAGTCTTCTGAATCTGCTCCTTGTTCTGCTTATTTTCTTTTCTTGTACCCTTGTACTGTTCATCTGACTGGGTGGACCTTGATAAAAACCTTAAGCAGGTAAGGAGAAGTGCTTTGTGTTCTGAGCTTTGGTGTCCCTGTGTTTTTGGCAGTAGTGAGGTGGTCACAGGCAGGCCAGTTCAGTGGCATTTGGCGCCCTCTAGTGTTACAGCTGCAGTGCAGACCTCTCTTTGGATCCTTGGCCTTAAAAGTGTAAGCCACAGTGCTTCTTCTGGGAAGTTAGAAAGCCTTAGCCTTTGGCAGAAGCTGAATTCTGGGTTTGTCTAGATATGGAGATTCCTTAGCCCTAGACAGCTGTCAGTTTTACAACTCCAGACCCTGGGGTATCTGAGACCCTCAGTTCCAAAGGCTTGACAAGTCTCTGGAACTCTTCCAGTAACTACAGCCTGTGATGTCTCTTTTGGGATTTTTTTTTCTTTTGAGACAGGGTTTCTCTGTGGCTTTGGAGGCTGTTCTGGAACTAGCTCTTGTAGAACAGGCTCGTCTTGAACTCACAGAGATCTGCCTGCCTCTGCCTCCCGAGTGCTAGGATCAAAGGCGTGTACCACCAACGCCTAGCTTCTCTTTTGGATATTATAGCCTTCTATCCTTCAGCCTGTGCTCTTGCTCTTTTTCTGCTTTCCCTGTCTTGTCCTAACCTGGCCATCTTTGGGAACTCTTCAGGTCCCTCTTTTTTTTTTCCTAGCTATCAAACAGCCAGCTGTCTTGCCACTTCTCAGTTTGGCCTGAAAGGTGCCCATTCCTGCTTTTTTATTGACTCTGCTTCTTGTGTTAGCAACTCAACCCTCATTACTCAAAGCAGCAAAAAAGGACTGCTAGAGAGAAACCTTGTATTGGATTTTAGTGTTGTAATACTGGGGCATGTATCGCAGGGTGGTCTCCCAACTAAGTCACCAAGTGAACCAAACAGCCTGCTCCTATAGCCAAAGAAGGGATTAGAATGTGTTTGCACGAATTTTTCATTATCTGTGATGAATTATAATGATGCAAATATCCATTCCTCTTGAACCCCTGTCATTTGCAATTTAGAAATACTCAAGTTGTTGATACAATGACAATATATCCTTCCTATATTGTTGAGTATGATTGGTCGAAAATTAATCGTTTTATGAAGTTGTCATTTCTTCATCATGTATATAGGAACTTTTTTTTGTTGTTTCTCAAGACAGGGTTTTTTCTCTGTGTAGCCCTGGAACTCGCTCTGTAGACCAGACTGGCCTATTTCAGAGATCTGCCTGCCTATGCTTCCTGAGTGTTAGTATTAAAGGTGTGTGCCACCATGGCACAGCTCAAAAACACTTTTTGAGGAGTAGTAGTTTTATTTTTGGAGGTAGCATCTTCCTATATAGCCCAGGTTAGTCTGGAACTAACTTTATGAGTCAGGATGGCCTCAAACCTGTGGTCCTGCCTTGGCTGCTCCTGTTAGGATTATAGGTGGATTTTACCTTGCCTTTCCATTTAAATTTATGTGTTTGTGTCTATATACCTTTATAAGTTTTTGGATTATGATTTTAGTTTTAGTTAGTTTTAAAAATAGATATTTTCCTGGAGACTGTCTTGAACAAAAAGGATAAAAGTAAAAATCAAAATCAGAGTAGAACCAGTGGAAAATTCACTCCAGTTTTTTTTAATAAGATTAAGTATGAACAAATACTTGCTAATAACTGTTCACAACCTTCACAATACAGTTGTTTTTGTGAATATACTTTTCAAAAGAGAAGATATTTATTTCATGTTCATGTAATTAGTTTATTGGCTAACCTTCCTTCAATTATTTTTTTTCCTCCCTACAGAATCTGTCTATGATCTTCTCCCAAAGGAGTTACAGTTACCTCCACCTAGAGAAACTTCTGTAGCATCAATGAGTCAGACAAGTGGTGGTGAGGCAGGCTCGCCTCCTCCAGCTGTAGTTGCTGCTGGTATGCATTTCATTTTACTTCATTACCGACAACTAGGGTATTATCTGGCCAACATGAACAGTACTGGCAAAGTTCATATTAAAAAGAGTATGATTTGAGGGTTTGTTTTAGAAAGGTTTAAAGACTATACCCTTTAAATCGAAGGGTTTTCAGTAGGTTTTTTGTTTTTTAAAATATATATAAATCTTAAATTTGTACATCTGTAAATGCTATCTCCTAAAATGGACCTCGTCTTCAAATATGGGAACCAGTTTTAAATGACTTTGTTGAATGCAAATAAAAAGGTTAAATACCAGGCAATGGCTAAAAAAGTTACATTTGACCTTTTATTTAACAAATATTTTTGGGGACTTTTCCAAAGGGAAAAATGTTATATGATCTGAAAAAGGACTCAAGTTCTTAAGTCTCTTTTCTGTTTATAGGGATGTAACTATAACCTTTTTCCTACCCTTAAATATACATGTGGCCTGATATTTATTTTAAATTCATGGAAAATAATGGAAAGATTGAATACAATCTTTATGTAAATACATTCTCCTATACCAATGAAAAGCATTAAAAATGTTTGGAATTTGTCATTTATTTTTACTCAGCTCTCAAATCATACACTTTGTAATTACAATTAAATTGGTTCAGACTTTAACTTTGAATTAGGATAAAAGATGACAGATATACTAATAGGAAAAAAGTCTTGATTAGTAACAAATTAGTATGAATGATTTCCATATTAGCCTGCCCAACTATAGTACTTTAAAAAGTTGGGACTATAGGTTGCTAAATATATTTGCTTTAGAAAAATGAATATATTATGTCTACTTTTCTGAAGTTCTGTCATCCTATAGAGGTTTCTTACCTTGTGATACTTGTCATCTTTTAAAATGGTATTTAAAGTCCATCAAAATATTCACAAGGAAAAATTAAAAGGGAAGGCTGTAGTTCAAATGACAATATTGCTACTGTGTTCTAGCAGCAGGTGTTTAATTTCTTATATTCATTAACCTATATACCATTAGCCTTGTATACCAACCTTTCTTAAACCAAACAGTACAGTATGAAGCCTTCTTGGTTGAGGGCAGGAAAACTTTAAATATGATGAAGAAACATTCAGTGGCCCTCCTCACTGTTCATGTGTGGCCAGACATTTTCTAACAGTTTCTGTGGATTTAATTGTGAATTTGTGAGCTTTTTAGTGATCAATTTGATAAGATGGTCTGGTTTACCTCATATCTACCAGATTCTAAAGTGGCTCTAAATATTTTTTTTTAATTTGGAGCTTTAAATCTAGTTTTTAAAGATTGAATCATAAAATTAAATAGTATTTTAAAGAAGTATTGTTTCACTTTAAATCCACATGTAGAAATTGACTAACTGATTTCTTTTGTGTCTTGAAATTGTTTTTATAAGGACATGTTGAATCTGCATAGAACTACAAGTCTGTTTCTTCTGTGCTTTTTAACATCTGTTTACAGTAGATCCAGTTCCTTTTAAAAGCTGAAAAAAGATAGCTAAGTTTAGAAAAAGAACAATACTTCCCTCTAAATAGTACTACATGTTTCAGAATTTCTTATGTATAAATTTTTAAAGCCCTTGATTTTCAATCACTAATGAAAAGTTTCGTCCTTCCTGTATAGTTGAGAAATTCTTTTCAGGTAAATTAGATTGAAAGCTATGAGTTGAAACATGAAAATAAAAGATTTGACTAAAGGAAATATTCTAAAGCTATCTTTCTATATACATATACTCATACATATATGTATTTATATTTGTGGACCTGGGAATTAAACTCAAGGCCTCATGCATGATAGGCAGATGCTCTACTACCAAGACGCATCTCCACCCCAGTAAATTTTTATTTTCTTGAAATTATTGGCATTATAAAAATGGTAAAGAAAGCTGGGCAGTGGTAGCACACGCCTTTAGTTCCAGCACTTGGGAGGCAGAGGCAGGCGGATCTCTGTGAGTTCGAGACCAGCCTGGTCTACAAGAGCTAGTTCCAGGACAGCCTCCAAAGCCACAGAGAAACCCTGTCTCGAACCCCCACCCCCCAAAAATAAAAATGGTAAAGAGAATAAAAAGGTAACTTTGAAAGTTTTTGTCTCACAGAAAGTTTCTGTATTCTAAATCCAAGTAATTAATACTCTTCTCATTTGAATATCTACTTTATTAGTAACCAACCTAATTTATTCTATTTTCTGATGTCTTATTAATAGAAAAGCTCCCTTATTTTATACTGGTACAGATAAGAGTAATTGTAGGGACATCAATATGTATTGTATGTGACATCATTGGAGTCACAATTTTATTTATCAGATTGATAGCCTTGGTGATACAACTATCAAAGAGAAAAACTGGGACTATATTACCAAGTTACTCAATGTCCTTCTGTCCAAAAACTTGATAGCTAGGGAAATGCACATTAATTTAAATATCTGATGTTTTTTTAAAAACAAAAATCTGTAGCATTTGCTGTTTACATGTGAAATGCATAAAAATGATGACTCTTGATATAGTTAATTCTTCAGAGTTTTGAAGGAGCTGGATTGGCTGCTATCAGGTATGAGGGCCTGGTGGGAACAGACTTCTAGTTCTGCCATAAAGGTTTGTGTTTCACAAATTTTAAATCAGTTTAAAATTTAAAAAATTTTAGAGATCGGGGATATGTGTGTTTATAAATTCTTTAATAATTATTAAAAATGTGTTTCTCAGATTCACCAATGTAGATTTTTTTTCTTTTTCTGCCTCACATATTACTGAGGGTATAAAAAAATGTGATGCTGCTGATCCACAATCCAGAATCCTGGGTAAAAGGATGTTTCTCAGCCTCTTTTAAATTGTTAGGATTTTGGTATTTATACTATTACTCCTTTACATACTCCCATCAGTAGTATCTTTTGCTTTGTGAGACCCAGGGTTAGGATGGAGGAAGATAAGGGCAGGAGACCCATTCCTCTCCTATATGAAGACAAGGTCAGAACCTTTCATTTGAAACTTGTTCACCTGCCTGTTTTTAAGAATTCTCTTGGAAAAGTAGTTAAGAATTTGAGGTTCAGTGTGTCTCTAAATGATAGATTCAGAAATAAAAACTTTAGACAGTGTTGTAGGTTCCATAAGTAGCTATGGCAGAGGTTTTAAAAAAAAATCAATGAATTAATAATATTAGCAAAATAAGGAGTTGACCAAGAGAGAGAAAAGTTAGAGCAATCAAGTATTATTTTTACTTATACATTTAGAGTTTTTAATCCTGAGATTTGTTTATAATGATGAATCTTTCATGGAAATGATTATTAATTAGCCTTTATTGTCTCAATTTAAGAGATCAGGTAGTACACCTATAATACCAGCATTTGAGAAATGGAGGGAAGATCAGTAGTTCAGGGTTATCGTCTGCTACATAGTGAATTTGAAGCCAGCCTGAGCTACATGAGATCCTGCCCCCCCCTCGCCCCACCCCCTCACCCCCACCACAAAATAAAAAAGTCAAATTAATTTGTTTATTTTCATTTGGGGATATTTGATGGGCATTATATTTCTGTTTCAAACTCCGGGGGACTATAGGTATGTGCTACTATACCCAATAAGCAATTCATTGTTTAGCTCAAGAATTTAAGTTTAAAAAAAAATCTTCCAGGAGTCCATACCTGCCTGTAAGGATGGCTGCATGTTTGAGGCCAATCTGGGCTACTTAGGGTGACTCTGTCTCAAAAAAACCAAACCAACAAACAAAAAAAACAACCCCAAAATGACAACAAAAAGCTACCAAAGAATTGATAAAATTATAAGTTTTATAATTCAATGAAAGAAATTAATAACTAGGGTAAAATTGTTTTCATAAAGTTGATAACTTTAAATAATTATGTTAGTATTTATTTTGTGTGGATATGGACAGGATCTCAAATTCCCTATATAGACAAGCCTAGCCTGGAACTCTAGATCCTCCTCTACCTGCCTCTACCTTCCAAATTCTGGAGTTAAAAGTTTGTCTTTTTTAGAAGCAGTATAGCCTCAACACTAATCCACAAGGCAGCTTTCAAAACATGTATAGGTAGCTACAGTCATTAAGCATGTACAATAGAATCTCTGTTGAGGCCTATGGAGAAGGTAAAAGTGCTTGAAGACCTTTGTTCAGATTTGCACACTCCATTTCAGACCTTGGGTGTATGTGTGCAAAGTCAGGTAGATTTCTCAAAGGCTCCATGGCCAGCCAGTCTAGTCAAAAACAAAAACAAAGCAAAACCAACAACAAAGCATGTCTGAAAGAAAGTAAAGTGGGGAAGTGATTGAGGAAGATTATCCTAATGTCAAGGGCTGGTCTCCATACACTTGCACATAAGTGAATATACTCCCCACCACATACACACACATAATACATCATACATAAGAGTCTCTGTTGAATATTTCCATTATTAAATCAGTGTAGGATTTTGATTTGATTTTGGGTTTATTTAGTTTTGGTAATTTTTGTTTCTTTTATCACATTTACTTAATTTATTGAGGAATGCACTTCCTGTGGTGTGCTTGTGAAGGTTTGAGGACAACTTTTCGAAGTTGTCCTTTTTTGTATGGCCCAGGATCAAACTCAGACTCTTAGGCTTGGGAGCAAGAGCCTCAACCTGCCCAAGCCATCTGATGACCTAATGTTTTTATTTATTTTATTTTTATTTATTTGTTTGTTTATTTGAGAGAAGGTCTCATATAACTTTGAGCTATATAGTAGAAGATAATCTCAAGTATCTGATCCTCCTGACCCATCAAGTCCTGGAATTACAGACATAGGTCAGCATACCTGGATGCAGAGTCAATTTTTATTGTAGCTTTTTGTTTGCTTGTTTATTTAGAAAAAAATGAGCCAAGGTGGGCTTTTTTTGTTGTTTTTGTTCATTTTCATATTTGAAATTCTCTTTGGCATTCTCGACCTATGAAATTCTTAAGCCTTGTACAACTGCAATCAACCACTTTCTGGGATTTTTCTCCTGATCAGTTTTGCAGAGTCTACCCACTCC